CCCCTTAACATCAAAGTGGGACACTAGAGCTGGAGTCTTTCTCGTGACTAACAAGAGCTACAACATGGAATGTTTATCTCATTGTTTTATTTGCAAGATGTTTTTGGAGAGGATTTGCCTTTGCCTTCTGCTTGGGCTGAGAGACTGTGATTTGCCTAAGGCCATCCAGTGGATTTCCATGGCCCTAGTGGGGCTTTAAACTGATAATTATCAATGGGTTTTTTTCATGTCAGGAACAACTTGAGAAACTGCAGGTCGCTTCTGGTGTGAGAGAATTGGCCGTCTGCAAGGACATTGTCCAGGGAATGCCCTGATGTTTGATGTTTTATCATCCTTGTGGGAGGCTTCTCTCATGTTCCTACATGGGGAGCTGGAGCTGTCAAAGGGAGCTCAACCCTCTCTCCCCAGATTCAAACTGCTGACCTATCAGTCAGCAGTCCTGCTGACACAAGGGTTTAACCCATTGCGCCAATCAGTGGGGTGATTTTTTTCTACCCAAAAGTTGAACCAGCTATCCAATGGGCTAAACCTATGGGCAGAGTTCAGTATCTTGGACTGTTCCTTTCAAGATCATATTAAAACTTGGAGCAGATTCACCATCCCACTGCTATCAGAGGAACCAGGCACCACTGATGATAGGGCATCTAACGTGGCAAAGACCAATTTATACATTCCAATTAATATCAGCTGGTATTTCATATCACAATTACCATTCTTGATCAGGTTGCATAAGGATGACATTTCCAGTCTCTCTCACCAGAGAGTGAAGCTGTGATGATCAGAAGCAGGACCCTCACCACTATACCTCACTGCGCCATAGATGGCTGGTTAAAGAGAGCTAGAAACATCATTCTGTTTGGTACCAGAATAGTCTTCCATTATTCAGAGTGACTGCTGACTGTTAAGATAGGTTTTTGGGGAATGGGGAGAAGGTTGGAACAGGCCATGAAATTAGTCACACATTTATCAACAATGTAAGATCTTAGAATCATAGAATCAAAGAGTTGGAAGAGACCTCATGGGCCATCCAGTCCAACCCCCTGCCAAGAAGCAGGAATATTGCATTCAAATCACCCCTGACAGCTGGATGGTCATCTGTCAGGGGTGATTTGAATGCAATATTCCTGCTTCTTGGCAGGGGGTTGGACTGGATGGCCCATGAGGTCTCTTCCAACTCTTTGATTCTATGATTCTATGATTCTAAGATCTCTGTCCTTGTGTCTTGTAAAACGAAAGTATTAGTATTCCAGGGGATGAAAGTTATGATCATAACAAATGAAAAATGTGGATTTTTCTCCAACAATATGATATTGGAGGATGGGACCAACAGAAAAAAAATGACTGCAAAAAGAGAAAAGTTCAAAGTAATGCAGCCTAATATTTAGGAAATGATCCCAGTGCATTCCAATCCTTCGCTCTTTTGTGGGAGTGGATCATACAAGGACAGATCTGCTCAAAGGAAGAAATAAGTTTTGAAATACCTAGAAATGTTACATTGATGAAAATCTTGGAACTCATCATTTTGGACTTTTCTCTTTTAGATCTTTGCACAAGTTCATATGATCTGCATGCTATGATATCAGTTCCATGAAATGTCATGGCATTTCCATCAAAGGCTCAGCTAGCCTTACCACCACAGCTCTTTCCAAACTGGCAGACCAGATATCCACAAATCTATCTTCTATTATCCTTCTTTATCCTGAGTACGTGCCCCTAAAGAAGTGCCATCAGGATGGAAACTGGAAGGCAGTGCTGCTCAGAAAAGCCAAGCTGGGTAGCAGTGATGCTTAGTGATCAGCATGGCAGCAGGAAGGGGAACTCCCTTTAGGGAGCTGTGCCAAGCTGTTGCCACCTTTTGCCAGCCTCTCAGTAAGCAAGGGGATTGTGCATTGCTTCTGCTGTGCTTTTTGAGACTTCACCCTTCCCAGCAGATGAGAGCCAATAAACCCTCTGCCTCTCTTTTAAAAGGAAACCATATAATCTTTGGTTTATATCTTTGTTTATCATCTACCCTGCCCTTCAAGCTTTAGACAAATTACATCAATGCCATCGGCAACAATCAGATTAATCAGTGACCCTCAAAGATTTACAATCTAAGCAGAAATACAGCACGCTTGGAGAAGCAAGAAAATACCTTTTTAATAAGCATTCATTCGGCTCTTCTGATTTAGGACACTTAAGAGATGACACTTCTGGTCTTCAGCGTACAAGTGGGGATGCCAAGGTTCCTGCCAACTTGGCAAAGATCCCGGCACTCCTCTGGGTGGTCCTTGGGCACCCACCGCTTCCTTCCTCCCTGCTGTTTTACTTCTCTTTGTCTGTGCTTTCCTATGTGCGGATTCCGGATTTCCGAAGCAGAGCCCGCCTCTTGTTCAGCAAGGCTGTAGAACAGCCTGCTATCACAGGCATGGCATGCAGCAATAATGTACCTAACAACCACAATCACAACAAAACACCCAAGATTGGAGGCTGAAGCAACTGAGCCCAGCTCAAAGCAAACTAACAGTAAAGCAGACACACCACAATGAGACAGAAAAAGAAATCAGAAAGACAGATATTTTCCAGAGGAAGAATGAGACGCATTCATTGTTAGCCACGCTTGTTCCTTATGATTTATCAGCTTCCTCGGGAACTGGAATGCTTTTGGATGATTACACACTCTCTCCAGCCTCCCTCCTTCCCTTTTTTAGTGCCCACAACTCTCGGCTGGCTTGGCCTCTATCCCAGTAGACTATTACCAAAAATGACTTATCCCTTTGACATGCTCAGGAGCCCCAGCATTACGCAGAGATGGGGACAGGCCAAACCAGGCTTACCCTCATATTCTGCAGCCCTGAAGAAGTGATGATAAGAAAAGAAGGCTTGCAAAGCTTCCCAGGCTATATGTTTAGGATTTGGGGCAATGGAAAAATGAGGCCAAACCAGGGTGGGGTGGGGGTAGGAATTGCTTTCAGACTGAGATTTATGGTTTGGATAAATTCTGGCCATTGCAGGAATAACCCCCTTTGTTCTTCCAGTTGGAAAATGCAAAGAGTTTGTGGATGTGTTGAGATTGTGAGTTGTGGGGCTTCTGAACCACTCCATCACCCTTCTTGGAGAGAAACCCCAAAAGCTGTTTTCACAAGACATGAGAAGATGTTGGGACAACATTTCTGGAGGAGACCTATGAGTATGTATTGTACCTGTTTGTTGCTCAGTTTCGAGATGCACCTGCCAAGTAGCCCTCAGAGGAGTGGGACATCATTTATGTCTACTCTGTTAGACTTGGTCCAAATTATTCCTTGTCATCCTTCCTCTATTGCAGTGTGGCAGCAGGGAGGCACAGGCATGGCTGGTGAGTACTCTCATCCCTATCTCCCCCAGACAGCATGCTGCAAAGCAATGGTTCCCAACCTGTGATCTGTAGAACACCAGTGGTTCACAAGAATGAAAATATGGTCCGCGGCCTCACCATTACTACACTGTTACCTCAAAACCACATGGCAAGGAGAGTGACTGGTCTCATGAAACCTTCTTATACTGCAGAAGAGGTTGGGATGTCGGGAGGGGAGAAGATGACTACCAACAAAAGATTACTGCTACCATATCAGTTCTAGATTATTAAATATGGTTCACTGTGGGTGAGCAGATGGTGACTACTGGATGGCATATGTTCTGTATCAGAAACTACAGCTGATGTGGTCTATCTGAATCAGCATCCCAAATAACCAAACCGAATCTAGTCCAAAAACTGATTGATAACTCTTTTGGTACTAATGTTGGAGAGTGGTCCCTGGTCAAGTAGTCCCTGGTCAAAGTGGTCCCTGGTCAAAGTGGTCCCTGTCAAAGCAGTCCCTGGTCAAAAAAAGGTTGGGAACCACTGATAGGTTGGAGTATTGGACTACAACTCCGTGAGAACACTGGATTCGAATCCCCACTTGGCCCCAGAAACTCATTGGTGGACCTTGGACAAGTCACCCTCTTTCAGCCTCCTAGGAGGGTGGCAAAGGCCCCTGTGAACATATCTTGCCAAGAAACCCCCATGATAGGGTCGCCATAAGTCAGAAGCGACTTGAAGGCCCAGAACAACAACAACAACAACAACAATCTGGCCTAACTTCCCCCAGTTTGGAAGCAATGGTGTGTCTCTCCGCCCCGCAGTGCACGTGCTCTTGTGGGGCAACCCCCTCGAGCTGAGTCAGAATGTTTTCCTTCTGCTCAGCCTTCTTCCCTTTTCACCCATTTCCTCTTCTGTGTTGCGGTTCAAACCGAAAGAGAACGGCTGGCTGGAAACAGTTTTCTTTCGATGTTATTTCTTTTCTCTTTTTTTTTTCAGTCTGGCAACAAGAGTGCAAAATGTAGACTTGGCAAAATCTGATCTCTCCAATCTTTCCGACCTGAAAGTGAGACGGGGCGATGCCCGTGTCAGAAGGAGGGCGGGGGGGGGGGGGGGGCTTGGCCGCTTCCAAAGAGGGAGCGGAGCGTGTCAGTTTGGCAGGGCCGTCCAGCCGGACTCGGAGAGCCAGGAACGCGAGTGGAGTGGAGGGGGCCGAGAAAGAGGGGCTCCGAAGCCGGGTTTGGGTCGGAGAAAGGCCCGAGGGAGGGAGATCCTCCTCTTCCTTCTCCCCCCCCCCCCCCCCCTCCAGAACAGCCCAGGGCTGACCTTAGACTGAGTCACGGTCTGTTCCAAAGACCAGGCAGACATCCCACCCGCCCTCCGGCCCCGCCTGCTTCCCTGCCTGCCTGTCTCCCTCCTCCTGGCAGCTGACGGCGGGGCGCCTCATCTGGCCTCTTCTTGGCTGCTTGGCAATAGCCAGCGCCGTCGAGCAGCCTGTGCCAGATGGCCTCGCCGGCCCCACGCCTCGCCGGCCCCTCCAGGGAGCTCCCAGGCTGGGTCTTGCCTCCCGCCCCCTCGGCGCGCTTCCCTTCCTACCTTCCTTTCTTCCTTCCTTTGCCTGCCTGGGGACAGAGAAACCAAGGTCCACTCTCTCAGCCTCTCTTCGGCCAGAGACGGGACTTACCGTGCTGCTAAGCGGCGCTGCTCCTCCTCCTCGCTCCGCTCGCCATCGCGCCCTCCAAGTCCCAGGGCCAAACTTCCCCGCGGCCCACGCTCCTGGCCACCAGCCCASGGCTCTGGGGRTCCTTCCTCCTCRTCCCGGCGGGGCTGGCGGTTCCTTCCTCTCTTCACAATGGGAGCGACGGCAGGATCCCGAACAAAGTGCCGATTCCCCGGAGGGAGGGGGGCAGAGAGGATGCCTGGGAGGGAGGGGCTGTCACGTGGTCGCTCGGCCCCCTCCCCGCCCCTCCCGCCTTTTATGCCGCTCAGAGGGGAAAGGAGGCTGACACGCCAGGCCAGGCCAGGCGCAGGGGCTGCCCACAGACGCGCCCCCCCCGCCTCCCTTGGCACGCTCACACCGCTCTCTCCTCCTCGCCTGATGCTTTCTCCAGAAAGCAAGTGGGAGAGGCAGCAAGGCAAAGCGGGTTATTCCCGCCTCAGACTTTCTCACTGGGGAGGGAGGGAGAGAGAATCGAGGGAGGGGTTAACCTCTTCCTCCRCGTCGGCTTCCCTTCTGACAGCTCAGTGGCCACACAGGCTCGGACTGGGAGTATCTCTCTCTCTCTCTCGCTGCTCCTTCCCGGGCGAACCAGGCGAGGCGACTTCCCTGCCAGCTGTTGGCTTCCTTCAGGGAATGGCAACAATGGCCTTGGGCGGGACGGGCCTGGGGGCGGCGCGGAYGGGAGGGGGAAAGAGGGGAGGGGAAGGGAGGCTCCCGGCTCGCCGGCACGCGCCACACACACATACACGCGCGCGCGCATCCACGCGGAGGGAGCCTTCCCCCGGCGAAAAGGGAGAGAGGCCCCGCCCCGCCTCCCCCTCCCACCAACAAACCGCAAAGAAAGGTTCAGAAGAGACCCGGCTCCGGCGGAGACGCAGCTTTGTTCCCAGCAGACGGCCCTTTCCTATCCATAACATACACACGCCCCTTGACAGCTAAGAGCAGCTATGGGGAGATGCATATGCAAGGCTGAAGGTATACATCCCTCTTGAAGGCTACATGCTTCGACCAAAGCGAGCAGCATATGTTTGCGCAGGTTTGAGTCTGACACAATTCCAACACCTGGCAGCCAATGGTCCTTTCGGGTGGGATTTGGGACCCCGCTGATTTGTATGTCAGGTGTCTAGATTGCGACCCCCTGCTCGAAGTTTCTCTTGTGATTTCGCCGCGCTTCTGCTGGCGGGAAGGTAACGGCGAGCAGTTATGCCGGCCACATGACCCTGGAGGTGTCTGCGGACAACGCCGGCTCTTCAGCTTAGAAATGGAGATGAGCACCAACCCCCAGAGTCGGACACGACTAGACTTAATGTCAGGGGAAAGCCTTTTCCTTTTATTTCTCTGCTATGGGAATATTTAATCCGGTTAAGGGTGTATGTATATACCCCCAGGTTGGCAAGGTGTTAGGGCTGTGCAATCGGCTCCCGGAATCCACGGTTTCAGTCATTGACGGTTTGAAGTTATTCTCCTCTGAAATTCCAAAAAGCACGACTGAATGTCTTCATTTTTGAGATACCGTTTTACTATGCCATTGAGCGTAATGGGAATTGAACATTCACGGATTTTGATATCCAGGGGAGTCCTGGAACCATATCCCTACTTACTAGGGCGATCCCTCAAAGTCCAAGGATTATGGTCTGTAGTGTAGTGTCTTGGCAATGGATCCGTAGGTGGCCTGGCCAGCCCTTCCTCTTGGCACGTGCCTCTTCGAATTCTGCAGCACTGCTGGTCACAGCAGACCTCCCGTTAGAGCCCCCAAGGGCCAGGGCTTCTCAGTTCTCCGTGTATCTATTGGGAGAGGGATATCATTCTGTCCATTTTCTTCTTTGTTCCCTTCTTTTTTTTGCCATAAGTAGGTGGAGCCACAGTGGCACAATGGGTTAAACCCTTGTGCTGGCTGAACTGCTGACCTGAAGGTCAGCAGTTCGAATCCATGAGATGGGGTGAGCTCCCTTCTGTCAGCTCCAGCTTCCCATCCAGGGACACGAGAGAAGTCTCCCACAGGATGGTAAAACAAACTGGCGTCCTCTGGGCAACATCCTTGCAGACAGCCAATTTTCTCACACCAGAAGCAACTTGCTTCTGACATGAAAAAAAAAAACCCCGTAAGCAGGAAGGCTATTAGGAATAGTGGGAGTTTAAGTCCAAAACACCTGGAGGGTCAAAGTTCTCTAGAAAGCCTCACTCTCTCAGGCTTCACCAAGTGAGGTCTTGCAGGTTGCCCCAGTGGCCCTTACTGCAATTGAATGCAACAAAACAAAAGTGAGAAGCCAAATCTGTCCAAGGGAAGGCCAGGAAAGAAGAGACCCATCAGGGAATTGTGGAAAAATCAGGAGAAGTCCATTTGATCCATTTATTTACTTTTGTCTTGACCTTGTGTGGAGAAAGGGCCCTAGGGAATAAAAAGGAATCTGACAGATTATTTGGATCAAGCATTATGACTTATCTCTAACACTATTAGAGAGGAACCAGTATAATGTATTGGTTTGTGTGTTGAACTGGGATCACATTTGGATCTCTGCTCAGTCATGGAAACCCACTGGGAGCTGCATCTGAAGTAGACAATGGCAACCCTCCTATAGATTAAACTACCAGCTATTCAGTGCATTCCAGAGGGGAGGCCACATTTGTTAGCAAGCTAGGAAACCAATGTCTTTTTGAACTACAGATGAACTAATAAATGCAATAAACAAAGGCAAATTTTAACAAAGGTATTGCCCATCCCTATGAGTCACAAAGGGGAAAATAAAAGCAGTTTGGAAACAGTACAGACAATCACAAAAGTGGCTGGGCAGGTCTTGGCACAAACAGCAGGAACACCAGTACAGGGATCACAGCTAAAACATACCTATCAAGAGTTTTCTTGGCAAAATTTGTTCAGAGGGGGGTTGCCCTTGCCTTTCTCTGAAGCTGAGAGAGTGACTTGCTCAAGGTCACTTAGTAGATTTCCATGGCTGATTGGGAGTTCAAACCCTGGTTTTCAGAATGGTGGCATAATGCTCAAACCATTACACCAGGCTCGCTCTCTTTATTGGTCCATTTGACTGGTATTGTTCACCTTGGAAAGGCCACACTACTGAAGTTTCCAAGTTTTACAGCTGTATAAACCATGGCTCCATCCTAATAAATTTCTGTGTATATGAGTTTTGTTGTTTATTTGTTCAGTCACTTCCGACTCTTCGTGACCTCATGGACCAGCCCATGCCAGAGATCCCTGTCGGCTGTCACCACCCCAACTCCTTCAGAGTCAAAACATCCACCCATCTTGCCCTTGGTCGGCCCCTCTTCTTTTTTCCTTCCATTTTCCCCAGCATCATTATCTTCTCCAAGCTTTCCTGTCTTCTCATGATGTGACCAAAGTACTTCATCTTTGCCTCTAATATCCTTCCCTCCAATGAGCAGTCGGGCTTTATTTCCTGAAGTATGGACTGGTTGGATCTTCTCACGGTCCAAGGCACTCTCAGAATTTACCTCCAGCATAAAAGAAGCAATGGTTGAATAGCATAAATGGTGAAAATGCAATAGTCTAAAATGCTTAGGTACACAGAACTAGTTTCCATCTGTTGCTGAAAAAAATACCATCTCTGCGCCAAGCACATTTCCCACTGGAAAACACCGCAAAGTCAGCTCAGTGCCATGATGGGGAAGACTTTTTCTTATGTATGCAAAATACATTTCCCCAAAAGATGTATCACAGAGGAAAGTCTCTTCTGAAGATGCCAATGTATGGGCAAGCAGATATGTGAAGAAGCAAGGAACTAGTTCATAAATTCTTTGATGTAGCTGGCAGAGATTGGAAATGTTTCTGTATTTATGTAAAATATTGCATTTTTCTATACATTGAAATAAATGGGCCTGCCTATGTGACTTTATTAAAGTTCAAAAATGAAAGTTTTGTATGCTCTCAGAGGTGGGTTCTAAAGACTTTTTATTCTGTCCTTGTTTTGAACAATCAAACATACAAAGAGGCTGGAAAGTGAGCACTTGGTCAGCTGTGTTTAGAGAGTACTGTGGTCAGGAACGACCATTGGCAATGCTGGCAGGAGGCAATGGAGGTGGTAGTCCAACACATTTGAGGGCAACAAGTTACACTTTAACTTATTTATTTACTCTATTTATACCCCACCTTTCTGTACTCCAAAGGGGACTCAAGATGGATATAACTTACTCACTAAACAGTTCAGAAACATTACAGTTTAGTAAACAGCTGCTCTGTTAACACAATAGAAAGATCTCACTGTATTTTAATCTCCTGATGATTCTGTGAAGGAAGGAATTAGTTTTTATAACATGGCCCCTGTATGTTGGTTCAACACTACCTTATAATGCAGTTTTAACTACATTGAACTGCATTATATGATTCTACAGTCACCATATAGTTCAGTTCAAACTACATGATATGACAGTATAGAACCAGCCTTAGAAAAACTTCCACTTGAACAAAAAAGGCCATGTAGGGCCTCTCATAAAGAGTCTGTCTCTTCTCAGATGACCGGCACATGTCACAAGATGTGCAATTGCTCTTGGAGAAACTCTACTCTTTACGCACCCACATCAGAAATTCAGTATCAGCCTTTCACCCACTACACCAGGGTACACAAAGATTTTATTGTGTCACAGAAATTCAGCCTACAGGCTCCCAAATGACTTAATGACCTACCAACAATTTCTTACCATGGAGCTCTGTATGCTTACTGGGATGTATGTGCCACTCAGAAACATTGTGAATCCTTCAGTTGCACTACATGGCACTGGCTGTTAGTGCGCCAGTCTTCAGCCCACAGTAGCCACAGTATCTCGCTAACTCTAACCAAGCTCGGGAAACTTACTTTTGGACTACAACTCACCCGATTCCCACAGATGGCTGGCATATTTTGAGAGTTGTGGTTCAGAAGTGTAACTTTCTCAGGAGCATTTGGGACAGACTACTGCAAATGTTTCAATTTTGGATTAACTTTTTTTTGGATGTGAGATATCCTAACTAACAGATTCACCTGTCATCTGGCCACATAACCAGGGGCAGGGTTGGGTACATTCATTTTCAAAAGAGATGATATTTCAGATCTCACACTTCCTTGATAGTCCTGGTTTTACCTTTACAAAGAGTGAGGTGAACCATCTTAAATATCAGATATCAGGAGGGGAACTGTGGTGGTAACCTCCCAGCTTTTCCTTGTGCATCATCCATCTTTCCCCATCTTTTAGACTTCAGAAATGTGTATGCCACAGTATTCCTGCAACTCCTGTGGTGGAGAACATTATAA